TAAATATTTAATTTGTAAGTTAAATATTTAGTTTATAAACTATGACATTTATAAATGTATGAAACATATGGTGAAAAACTGACTTTGAAAAAACAAATCTGTTCTTTTTTTCCTTATAAAAGGCCAAATAAAACAAAAATATTGGTGGTAATTTTTGACTGTGTAACTTTACAAATGACGCTCCACACTTTTTGTTGTTTTCCAAAGGCAAAAACTGGACAATCTCTGGCACCTAATGAAAGCATTTATTAATGAGGACCTTCACTCAGGCTATTTTTAGAACCCTAGTCTGGAGACCATGTCCGCTCGACACTGATGAACGTGCAAAGGTCACCATTAAGTTTCTTTACACGATGCACAAGTGGTGGCTCGAGTTATAGAAATACACACAGACAAGAACACAGATGTAGCAACTTCAGCTATAAAACCTGGTAAAATCACCAACCTTTTTAACAATTCTGCTTGATTTCCGAGTCTGTCAAAGACCTCGACCCTCCAAACAACCTTTCAATTGAACTTTCCTGTGAATCTTGATGTTGGATGTGTCAAAATTTACTCTGGGAGTGTGTTTTTCTGTTACGGTATTGACACTGACTCTCCGTAAAATCTAGTCCGTCTTTCTGATCTTTTGAGCGAGCGGCAGATAATATGCTAATGTCATGCGTGACGTCACTAGTGAAGGTCCCCATTATAATGTTATTTTGAAAAGGAAGTTACATCACAACTCCCCCAGGCATCTAGTTACCTTTGACCTAGTTATCGCTCAGCTGTTTGATAATCGCCCCTCTTGCTGAGGCAGAGGGGGAGCAGGCCGCACCACACATGCACGCTGGTGTGGGAAGGGGAGAAGGAGAGGGGCTCTGCATTCTCCTGAGCACTGAGGGGGGAGACAGGTGACGAGAAGCTACCTGACCATTCAGTTGTTTCTCATTCAGACCGTAGTTTCTTGTTTTGTCGTGAGCTAGATGCTAGCTAAAGACTTCCATGGAGCATTAACGACTGACCAGTATTCTTTCCAATAAGACCCCCTCAAAAATGAAATGGTACATCTCAAGGGGTTATGTTTGAAATAAATAAATAATATTGGCTACTCTGATGTGATGATGAGATTGGTGCTGCAATTATTTATATTTGTTTGTTTGGACCTGGGGGTTTTCTGTAGCTGCGTTTCCATTGCAAATGTGCGCAAAACRTTGTCGATATTCTGTTTAATGTCGAAAAACACAGTTTCGCAACTGCTATTTCTATTAAGTAAGAAATGCTATTAAAGTCACGCGTGAATACGTTTGTTCTCATGATAAGTCATTACAAACATGGCGGCGATGGGTGTAAACACGTAGCATGTTGCTACCGCGACACTAGCGCTCATCATCAGAGGAGACGTCTGCGTCTTTTATCGAGGCTTTCCAGAGACAAGTCCCTACTTGGAAGCGGCTACGTATGCTGTGTTTTTTGGGAAATTGTAGTCGGTGGGTGAGTTTACTACTTTCTTGTACTACTTCTGTGACACTACGACTACTTTTTTCGTTCAAAAAAATCTTTATTATTACTACTACTTCTACTTCCTGTTATCTTCTTCTTCTTCTTCGTCTTTTTCGCCAGTAGAAAAAGCCGGTTGTTGATCACGTGACTCCCATGATGCAAAAAAGTGTTTCCATTGCAGTTTTGCGAAAAACACCAATTTTGATACGGCCAAAAACCACCTCATCCTAGCGCAAAAACATTTTGTCGAAAAACGTAATTTTTTTATCAATTGACATGTTTCCGTTGAGCAAATTCTAATTTGCGCATTTTCATGGTCAATGGAAACGTAGCTAATGTGATGTTTTCATGTTGTCCTTGTGCTTGTTTGCTCCATGAACTCCAATTTCCTCCCACAAACCAAAATCATGCACGTTAGGTTGCCATCAGGCACAGACCTCCTTTGTAAAAAAAAAAACTGTGATCTCAGTGGGATTTGCCTGGTTAAATGTAAATTAATAAATACATTAATAAATTACCTGTTGAAGCCAACCTCATTTTACTGGTAACAGAATATCTCATAAATTACTGGGTAGATTATAATGACAATCTCAGAAAATGACCACTGGATGTAGGTCTACAACTGATGAACTTTGGAGTCAGCTCAAATCACGATGGATGCCACAGCCAGTTAATCTGAACCTGTTATGGGTTCAACTACTACAACTTAGTCAGTATATACTGAGCTAATTGGCATATTTGATGTTGTAGTGAGATTACTTAAGATTGTGCATAATGTTATGTTTGAGGTTTGAACAAAACTATTTCCCTTGTCAGCAAAAGATGATTTTTGTTTAAATGTGTGAATAGGCAGAAATAGGGTTTTGATTTAAATGTGTTCAAAATTGTGTTTTGTCAAAACACAATGAATTAATGCCTTATCAATGTATCAGTTGAATAAATTGCCTGAAATATAATCCTAAAAAAATTCTGAAGCATGTTTTGAGCAGTAGCAACAAAAAAACTTGATTTTGAGGAAAAACACCTTAAAATTTTATATTTTTCCCTGTGAGCTTGCAATGTTTTTCTTTCTTTCCAACTGGGAAATCTTAACATGCAAATACTATTTGAGGTTTCCTCTTTATATTGACATTAAAATTACTCAATAAATTTGCATAAAATTAGGATTCAGACCAAATTTTCATGTATCATCGTAACCAACAAGCCAAATTAAGTCATATCTCTGGATAAACTTATGATATCAGAATGATCCAGGTATCAAAATATATCTTTTAAAGCAGGATTCTGAAAATTATGTAAAAAATGTAATTAGGTCATTTTGATCAAATTTGACTTAATCCTCAGTTTGAGATGATGGGCCACAAATATCTTATCTTATCTTATGAATAGTGATGGGTGACACGTCTTCCCTCAAGGAATGCTAGACCTTTAATGCTTACTTTTTAATGTTCCACTTTGCCAGATAACCATGTTTTTCTTTTTCAAAATTACTCTGGATTGCTTTTATCTAAGAGTGATTGTGCAGATGTATACAATGATTTTGAGAAAATGCCCTGCAGTAAAAAATCTAACAAACAAAACAAAACAAAACAAAAAAAACTATATGCATTATAAAAATGATACTTTCTACTAAGGTTCACTTGTTAAACACTGAACCAATTTAAAATATTGACTAAAATAAGTAAATGTAAATCAGTTGCTGCCATTTTTTACCTGCATCTCTAGCAAATACCTTTTAATGTCACATTCTGCCACATTACCATGATAATGAATTCATTTTGAAAGCAGTCTGTCAGGAAGACACGTTTCTTCTTCTTTACCTTTTCACTCACAACACTCTTCCCGTCCCAGGCCCAGCCTCGCTTCGTGAAGTAATTGACAGTGGCAAATTCGATCAAAGCGGAGAACACAAAGGCATAGCAGACAGCAATAAACCAGTCCATGGCAGTGGCGTAGGCCACCTTAGGCAGGGAGTTTCTTGCACTGATACTCAGTGTTGTCATTGTGAGAACGGTGGTCACACCTAGAAAAAAAAAATCATGATCAGATATTTTGATGTTTGTGAGAACGTTCTGGCATATCACTGCAAAAAAAAAAAAAAAACAGTTGATCACAGAAAATGGTTTGGTCCACATGCAGATCAAAGATGACCATGTAAAGCATCATGCTTGTACCTTAAAAATAAACATGAGGGTAAAAGCTGTAGCAATACAAACGGAGTGATTATGTTATCAGGTAGTTAATAGTTGATTACCAGAAACAAAATAAACTGAAAAATAATTGTTGGTTATTTTTTGCTTCAATTGTTATAAAAAAAAAAAAACAAATGTCCATGGTGTCATCATGGTGTTTTTTCCTTAACCCCTGTTCGCCTATTTGTAATGTCTGCATACTTTAACCCAGTCATGCCCAATCTTGGACTTATGGGGCCATTATCCTGCATGTTTTAAATGTTTCTCTGCTTTGACACAGTGGATTTGAATGAATGAGTTATTAACAGGATTGATGCATTGTTATAAGTGTACCAGCAGAAGGGAATCAGGAAAATGTGTCTCATTTCATAAGTAAGCAGATTTTGTTATTTACCTCAATGTGAATGTGATCTGACCACAACTGAAGCTAACTAGATACCGCATGGCGGTAACACAATGACCCCCGCACAAATGCACCAGAACTTAGAAGTCTTTAGTCCTAATAAATGTCATGCTACTAGGTGCATCCCAAAGTTGTAGTGGTTTGGGTGGGGGTCTTTTTTGAAGCTTTTATGTTGAACAGTTTCTGAGTTATAAGCATTTTTGCATGTCCAGATACCCCGTCTTTGAAAGGAGCCCCCTCCTCAAATATGGGGTCCATCATAAAACCGTTGGCTGGTGCAGTGTAGGTCAGACTCATCTAC